CTGTTGCTGTTTCTCTGGTAACCTCTGAATTCAGAATCAAGTAAATACATTATTCAGAGAAACAAAATACAAATGACTGTACCTACTGATGCCCTGGGTGATATCTGCTTCTGGTCTAGCTCCAACTGACTGAGCTGTTAGTCTGCCTCCTGAAGTGTGTGTCCTGCCCTACAGAAGTCCGCAGAGACTGTGACAGTCCCAGACCAGATGAAGCAAGTTGGGCCAGCTCTGTAAGAGTACAGGCATAGGATGCCCTGGGCCTGCACTTCCTTCCTCTGCCTATAGGTGGTGATAAATAGCTGGTTTCTCTGGATGGCAGCACCCTGTCGAGACTGGAGGGCACAAGCCAAGAAACAGGCAGGCACAAGCGAGTAACATAAAATAGAAACAAACTTTATTTCTCTGGAAGAAGCAGATATCCATAGCTGGGGCAGCAACTCTGGCAACAGACGCTGATGGGAACACATCAAATAGCAACAAGGGAAGGACAGGGGTCCAACAGGGAAGCACTGGTGCCGCTGCAGTCTCCTTCCACACCCGGGCCTTGGGCCCTGGTCCCTGCCAGAGAAGGTCCTGGCGCCATTTCTGTTTCTGAGACACTTCAGGCTGTTTACAGGTACAAGATCCTAAGACCATCCAAGCCCCCAAGTTCACAGTGAAGTCACAGGTCACATCCTGTCCAACACTCCACATTCCTACAGGGGTTCCCTGGAAAGGGGCCTAGCCCCAAGGAGGGCCTGCTGGGTGCTGGCCCACCTTCTGTGTGGCCAACACATGCTTCTTGTCCAAGTCAAGCCAGGTTTCCTCTCAGTCTAACCCCCAGGGGAAAGCCTGGGGGCACGGTCTAGCCACTAGCCCAGTCTTGATCAGGAGCCAGAGGCAGGTCACCCCCGGGGCCTGCCAGGCAGCTTCCCGTCCTGCCTTCACAAGGCTCGGAACTTCCCACCTCTTGGTTGGGGCACTGAGGGCTGAACCGAGGTGTGCAGAACAGCTGGGTGGGTGAGCGAGGCGGGCAAGGTGAGGCTCCCAGCCTCCTGCTGCCTGGATCTCACTGTCCACTGGGAGCTGCAGGCAGTTGTGGGTCCTCTAGGCCTGAGGCAGGGTGTCTCCCCACCCCTGTCCCACAGACAGGTTCAAGAGGTTCTTTTAGGGCAGACCATTGCTCTCCAGCCAACCATCAGCGTCTGAAAGACAGGAAATAACCAAACAGTTCATCCATCAACATGAGCTGGCTGAACAGCTAATGGGAAACCCAAGGTCACCTAGGGAGTCACTGCCTTTAGGGACCATGCAATGTATTTTTAAAAAGTTTTAGGCAATAACTTTAGAACTTATTCTAAAGTATCTTTTTTGATACACTATGACTTAACAGTACTACCGTGTGCTGGAGTATCTAAGGACAACAGGAAGCTTCTCAGGATACAAATTAGGGACAAGCACCAGCAGACACTACAGCTTAGCAAAGGGTGTCAGTGCATGCTGAAGGCCACAGCCCTCTCCCACTGTGTTTCTGACCACTTCTGATGAGTGCACGTGCTTGCACCATGAACGCAGCAGACTGGCAGACCCCACTGGGTCCCTGCCTCCCAGCACCCAGCCACGCTTGCTTCCTGAGAGGATACTGACCTCACCCCCTGCCTATTTCTCCACTTTTGGGCTTGATAAATGTTTCAATTAATATTAATCTGTATGCTTTATTTTGTAAGTGTGCACATACATAAACTTTTAGTAAAGGTGTAATGAGATTATTTTGGATGTTTATTCCTTCAAAAAGCATTAATACTAACATATATAAAGGTGTGGGGATGAGTGTGAGCAATCGTGTTTGAATCCAGGCATGTGTGTGCACAGAAGTATGCAGAGATCACAGAAGCCTGGCCTTTCTTCTTGAGACCAGGCCTGTTGGTTTTCTGCTACTGTATGCCAGAGTAGCTGCCCTTAAACCTGTCCTTGCCTCCCATCTCTCCCGCAAGAGCGGTGGGATTACAAAGGCTCGAGCTATGGAACCAGCTTTGACATGGGTTGTGGGGATTCAAACTCACGCTCTCCTGTTCCTATCTCATGCTTAAGGACTAAGATGTTGCTCCATGAAGCACTTGGCAGCTGGAGAGGAGCTAGGGGTGCTGGCCGGCCTCCCTCACCCAAGGGCCCCAGCTGCCTCTTTCATTAATGAGAAAACCCAAGTCTATAGGAGGGTTCTTTTCCAGCCAACCACCTGCCTCTGGAGCCCTATACCTGCCCTCTCTCCTACCATCTGAGGACTCCCTGGCTACATGTGGCCTTTCAGAGATAAGTAGGCTTTTCCCACAGTGGAAACAGCCCTCCTGGGAGAGGGTGGTGGGGCAGTGTGTAATTCACTCACTTGTGGTGAGCAGGGCCACAGGAACCCAGAAGGTGACAGCCGGCTTGCTCTAGGTTCCAGTCAAACATCTCTAGTACTTTGTGGCACTCCATCCGTGGCCGAAGACCCAGCCCAAAGAGCTGCTCCACCTGAGGGCAGAGGGCGATGTTGCATTAGACACACTGGAGCCACGGGTACCAGAATAGCACAGGGCACAGGACATAGAGCCAGAGGGTAGGGTCAGGTACAGCAGAACCAGCTCGCAGGGCCCCTGAATGCCAGGGCAGGCAGGAAGTGATGGTACCTTCAGATACTGGGCAGCCCTCTGAACACTCCAGCTGTGGCTCTGCAGGGCCGCCTGGCACTCCTCTGTGGTCACCCCATGCACCATGGCCTGCAGCTGGGCATACCCACCCATCAGCACCACTTGGACCCATTCTTCTGGGTCCCTCAGACCCCTGCCCTTCACCTTGAAGTGGCCCTGGCACTCACCATCTGGACCTTGTCTGCTGGCCGAGCAGCCTCTTGCCCATCCCCTGGGCAGCCCCTCTGTGGCAGCCGAGCAGTGGCCCTCAGGGATGGTGGCCGCACCCCTGGGTTGCTGTTATTGGCGGAGAAGTTGGCCTTTGGGTCTGGGGCAGCCTGAGGCATAGGTCGGACGGTGGCAGTGGGGGCGGCAGGGGCTGGAGTACTGGGCGGGGGCAGCAGCGGGGGCACAGGCAGGG